TAACTGGAATGCCAGCGTTGAGGAAGCAGATCAGATGGACCGGACTAATCCTGGTTTCTGGATTAGCTGAGATTGAAATACTGTAACTTCCCTATAGAAATCTGGAGCAACAGGGATATCATAAGATAAATTGTGTTATATTTGGTAACAGGATTATAGCTGAAGTGCTTAAATACAATTATTCGAAACAGACCAATTTGAATTAAGGCTGTTTACTAAAGAGGGGTCTAAGGGGCAGCAGCTCCTAGAAATATAATCTCTCTGGGATAAGGCACCATCTAATCCAAATAAATACTGGAGTCACCCAGGTGCCTATTCACTACAGATGGCCCCAAAGAAATATATAATATGGACCCCTTTAATAAACTTATAATCTTAATGAGGACAAAAAAAAACAGAAATAAGTTTAAGGAAAAATATTAAAAGATCCTTATTTAAATCCAATTTTTAAAATGTGATTCAAATAGTAACTAGGGAATAAAAATGGTACAGATCAATGTTAACTGGACCTCAAGTGCCACCTACACAGCACTGTGTGTTCACCTCCAGTTTAATCCCAATACACAGTCACTATAGATGATCAATTAATACTGCTGGTGTTAGGGAACAAGGACATCCAGGACTTCTGTTCTTGAGAGAGAAAGAACATGATGTATATAAGGAAACAGGACCAAGACAACTGAATCAGCATTATCAGGAGACATTTTCAAATAGGTTATTTATATGGTCAAAAGGGAAAGAACAGGGAAGGCTGGCAAGGATCCATGAGAGGATCATACAGAAGGTCAAAACATGGCCCAATGATAAAATGGCCAACTGGAGTTCCAAAGCCAATGAAGGAAATTAAGTAAAAACCATTATTAACAAATAACTAAAAACAAAAAAATCAAACATCTGTCCATTTCCCTGTCCTTGTCTGTCTCCTTAGTTCCATATCCAGGAGAAAACTAGCATAAACAAATTGCTAATCATTCATCTGCAGAAAGGCCATCTCCTCTAGGCACGGAATGATTTTTGTTGTGCAAGTGCTAAGAGAAGCTGATTCACTCTGCAATGGCAGGTACCCCTTAGAGGTGGGATTCTACTAATATAATTTAGTAGATTTTTATGTTTTCAAATCTAAACATTGGGTTTTAACAGCTAAGTCCATCTGGTATTTCCAAGTTTCCCCACCTTGAAAAGTGAATATGAGGGTACTCAATAATTATTATGCTCTGAGCTGATGACAAAGGTTTTCCTTGTCTCACTTTTGCTGAACAAACCTATAAACATATACCTAACCATCTACTTTTCAGAAAGACTAATTCTAAAAGGATGGCAAAAGGGCTCTTAAGGAAAGGATGAGGGGACATCTGACACTTTTAAATGATGGTGATAGGAACAGGAGATTTAGACACCATGGTATGAGTTGGTTTAGTTTCTATCTGTATTAATCAGCTTTGCATCACTAAAATATAATACCTGACATTATGAAGAGGAGGCTTATTTAGCTAGTTTGGGGCATTCAAAGTCTAAACTGACTAGCACAGGTTCTATGGTGAGGGCTACTCCTTCACTGAATCCCTTCATGTCACGGTCAGCCATGGTATGTGTGGTCAGCGGGTATGTGTGGTTAAACCTCAAACCAAAGGCAGAAAGACCATGAAGGGACAACTGTGCTCCATTTAAAACTCTCTGATGAGATTTCAGGGGGATGCATAAGAGCAGCTCCCAATGACCTAAGAACCTCCCACTGGGCCTCATCTCCTATAGGTTCCCAATAGCACCACCCTGGGACCAAGCTTCCAGTCACAATGGATCCTTGGGTGAGAGTCAAATCACACCCAAAACATAGCACTATCTAACAAAAGAACTACTGACAAATCCAAACTTGTCTCAGACATCTGTGCAGGGCATCTAATCCTTCACAATCTAAATTCACGCGGGGTCTTTGCAGCATTTGACATTACCCAGGTACTGCTTCTCACATATTAGTAATGACCACCCCCAAAATAGTCTGTTGTTTTAGAAATTAGTCTTTGCCAAACAAACTTTAAGGAATATTTTTAAATTTCTACTGAAAGAATTGCACTTAACAGTTATTTAACTAAAAATCCTTATAAAATAAGGATAAGGTACTATGATCATTACAAATGATCATGTAATGCATAATTTTCCTTTGTCATTACTTTCAATCTTTCTGAAGATAAACCTATCATTATACTGTCCCACTTAAAAAGTGACACAAATTATAAAAAGATACAATGGGTATTAACTCTATTAATGGAGCTTATGATTTTATATAAGGTGAAACTTCATATTAATTATTCTTCATTATGTGATTTGTTTCTTTATGAAATTAAAATAAGAAATTAAATTGTTTTCACTTTTAGAAAAGGCCACAATCTGAAGTTCAGACTATGGGTTTTTAAAAATTATTTCTGACAAATGGTTAAAATCCATATTAATTTTTCATACTTTCACTGCTACAATTTGTCAACTGCCTTGGCAGACTAGGCCATAAAAGAGAATTTCCAGAGGAATGTGACTTTCAGTATTGAAGATTTATTTTGAAGGGGTCTACAAAAATATTAAAGATAAAAAGTTGAAACAAATGGTTCATTCTTGCTTCTCATCATTTAAAATAGTATAATTACTTCTCTAATTTCCATCATTAAAAACCCACATATAAAATGAAGTTAAATTGAAGGTAATGTGAAACAAGCATGTATATTATCTAATGTCCATTTTTCTAATCCTTTTTCTCAATTACAGAGCATTCGATATCCTCATTCAGTAACAAATATAATTTAGAAAACACTGGCCTTTAATGAAATCATGTAATAATAATAATAATAATAATGTCTCTTAAGTACTTAACATTTGCTATCCACTGAGCTAAACACAGATTACCTAAAAAGGAGAATTTAGTTCTCATGACAACAATCCTGTAAGGTATCAGTACTAGGATCTTCATTTTACACACAGATAAGGAAACTGAGGCTTAACAAAATTAAGTGGTTACATAGCTATTAAATGGTAAAATCATGTGAAATGATGAAGTATTTGAGGATAATCATAATTAGAGTTAAGAATAATTTCTCTCTAAAGCTAGAAATACAACTGATTAGATACTGTAGAAAGGTCTGGTCCACATAGCATCAGTCTTTACAGTAACAGTAGCAGTACCCTCAGTTATTAAAGAGTAAGTGTTACTTATGCTTTTTACTCTCAGTTATTAAAGAATAAGTGTTACTTATGTTTTGTACCTTTAGATGATTCATGAAAATAAACACATAGGGAATGAGAGTCAAATGGACTATGGAGGTAAAAAATAAGTATGATGTGGAAGGATATTAGATATTTTATGAAAATCTGAAAAGTTGCAGTTATTCCCAAGAGAGGCACCCCTAACAATTGGGGGGGCGGGGGATGACAATTTAGTTGGTGGTACAAATTTGTCTCATATGTCACTAGACTTCTAGTAGCCTTTACTCTCCCATTCACTAAATACTGGAAGTTTCCTTAGTACATGTGATAAGCTGATATACCCCTAAACATTTTCCCCCAACCCTCATTAAGAAGCATTGATTGTTGGGGGAAAAAAAATCAGGAAAGAACTGATATTAATTGGGCATGGTGAATCAGATACTTTACTCAATGTATTCACACATTTATTTTTAGTCTTCTTAACCCTATATGAAGGTAAATATATATTTTATTAGTTGTATGAGGTAAATACATATTTTATCCCTATTTTATATATGTAGACCCTGGCACTCAGAACAAAATTTAAAAAAAAGAAAAAGATTAGGAAAAAAAAAAAAAAACCAGTTTTGAAACTAGCAGTCTGGTTCCAAAACACTACTCTGGGTTGAACCTCAGATCTTTAATGGTGTTGCAAGCATGACTTTCCTTTCTTTAAAGAGTTTCACTCAGAAAACAGAAATTGTTTTAAATAGGAACCAGGGTATGTGTGCCATTAGGAACCAGGCACCAATTAGCTCCCTGGTTGGAGCTCAGGGGTCACAGGTGCAGTCTAGAATCACATGGTATGGGTGTTCAAGAGTTGGGGTAGACAGCTCCTGTGAACAGATATTAGAAGGGCTTTTGAGCATGTGAGTGTGTATGTTTTCAGGGGGAGTTGTGTTATGTTGTGTAAGGCTTATGTGATTTGTTTAACACGTACAGCATTTACATTAAGGCACCAGACATTATTATAACTGCATGACAACATGTCATTTAGGCATGTATGTCAGGTGAGGAATGGGCAGGGTGTGCACTGCATGGTGGGGCTGGTGTGTGTGCAGCAATGTGCATAAAAGATGATAGCTGTGCTGTCTAGAGCAGCAATTTGTGTTGTGATATGGATGGTGCTGGGAGGGGGCGGGGGGGGGGAACTGAACACTAGAGGATGTGTGTGCAGTGCATATGTAAGGTGCTGCACCCAAAAGACCATGTGGTGCATTTTTTGGGTATGTGTGCTGGATAGTGCTGAATACTGGAGGAATTACACGGGAAGGGATCTGGGTTGTGTCCCGGCCTGTGTATGGTGCCTGCAGGAGGTGTGCAGTTGGATGTTTTATGAGTATAGTGGTGTGTGCTGAAAGTGGTGCATTCGAGATGATTCATGCGGTGTGCTGAAAACGGACGGGGGCTGGAGGGGCTGCAGAGGAGGACGCCAGTGTCGTGACGTGTGCGGGAGTGATGCTGAATGTGTGTGTGTGGCGGGGTGAACGATTGTGCTAGGTGACCGGCGTGTGTTCTTGGTGTGGCCGGAGGCGCAGTACAGGAGAGGTGGTATTTAGAGGTGGGGTGTGGGGAGTAGGCTGGACGTACAGTGGAGACACCGGGCGGGTGGAGAAGCTGTGTAGGCGGTGGGTCTGCGAGTGTGTGTGCGTGAAGCAGCCAGCCCGCTTCCTCACCCCGAGCCACACTGGGCCACCCTCCCGGCGACCGCCTCCCTCTCGCCTCTACCCTTCGCCCTCCGGCGCGCCCCGCCGAGGCCGAGCCCGTCCCACCTGGTGAAGGCGAAGTACATGAGGCTGACGATAGTGAAGCTAAGCAGAGTGATGGTGTGCGGCCGATAGAAGAAGTCGATGGTGATGTCCTCCACTTGCTGCTCGTTGATCATCCGGAAATGCATTTTATAGTTCACATCATCCTTGCTCAGGGTCCGGCTCCCCACGCAGGACGCCATGGCCCGTCTCCCCGTCCTGCCGCTGTCCCGGCGGCCCCGGCCCGCGAAGGCTGGGACCCCGGCAGTGTTGACCAGCCGCAGCGGACAAGCAGCCGGATGGCGGGGCCGGGTCTGGCGCCCAGCAAAGGCTGGGAACAGGGGGAAGGACARGCGCGGGAGGGCGGGGTCGCGGCGCCGCCGATTCGACCTGGGAAGGGGGGTGCCGCCGGCCGGCCGCCAGCTGGCCTTCGGGCCGTAGCATCTCTAAGCACTCTCTGAGCCTTCAGATTGCCACTGCGAGAGGTTCAGGGAAATTAGTGAGCGAGAGAAGCGCAGCTGTGGTCCCCAGCAGGCTCTTTCCCAGGCTCTCAGCGCTCTCTCCCCCCGCGCAGCCTCCAGATGGTCTCGCCCACTCCGACCGCAGCACACGTGGGTCGGGGAGCGCGGCGGCTGGGCCCTTCGGGCCGGCAGGCGGGCTTGCGGGGCGGCGGCACCGGGTGGGCGGCCTGGCGAGCCCGACACCCACCGCGGGACCCGACAACGCTCAGGTCTCGCCACAGGTGAAGCAGGAACCCCCGTGGGCGTGTTCCCGGCGGGGCTCTGGTCCCGGCCTCCCGCGTCCAGGCGGCGCTCCCCAGCCTCAGGGCCTTTAAGTCTCCGTGGCTCGGTGGAGGGAGATTGGTTCGGTTTGGTACGTATCCCCTGGCCCCAGAGTTGGAAACGCAAAACACGTTTTTTTAGTAGTGGCCCTGGAAGGACGGAGGAGGCCCAGTGTGTGAAGTGGCTTCCTGCGGAAGTTTGGTTTGAGGAACTGAAATCTGGTTTAAAAAGGCCTAGAGAGGGCGACACCATTATTTGAGAGGCCCTTTATTACGAAGCCACCCCTTAGTCCCCCTTTCATCTCCTGAAGTCATTTATTAATTACAGAGTTAGAAATCTGGAACTCTAAAAAAAAAAAAAAAAAAAAAAACAACTATTTCAGTTCTTATTTCTAAACCTAACTAAGTAGACATCGAGTTGAGAACTAGTGTACGATGTATTAGTGGAGTTAATTTTAAGTAAATTAATTAGTGGAGTTTTTTAGGGTGTTTTCTTCCATCTTCGTGATCAAGGGCCGTGTTAGAAAACTTAATTGTGAAACCTCACAGAGCTTATGTACACATTTGCAAATGCCATACCCGCTTTTGAATACTGTGTAGGCCCTGGAGTTGACAATGCTTGTGGTTGATTCATTTCTGTTCTATAAACAGTGGAGCACTGCAAGACTGGTGGGGATAGTTACTGGGAGGGTGGATCCAGAGTTAAGACCCAACCCTTCTATCCTAAACGAATTGTTAGGATGTATACATAGCAGAGAAGTGGTAATGTAAAGATAATGCTTTTGCAAATAAAAATGGAAGGTTAAAAATTAGTTATATTCACAAAGGTCTTTTGATGGATGTGGATGGAGTTTAAAAGTGAACTTGCCAGATGTGGAAGGGATATTAATTTGATTATAGAGAGACAAGAGTGAATTTGGGATGGGGATGGGTTTGCTTTGAAGCAGGACAACGAGGTTGGACAAACTTAAAATGTCAAACCTGATAGAGAYCATAAGATCATTTTATTGTACCCTTAACCTTTACAAATAAATAAATAAATACTATTTTGGCCCTGGGGGTGTAGCTCAGTTGTAAAGTTCTATCTCTACCACCCATAAAAATTGTTATTTGAGTAATCATTTGAGTAATGATAATTGTATACCATCATGGGCTAAACATTTTTTACACCCCTTTAAGAAACTTAATTTTKTCAAGGTAGCATAACTACCTTGGTCTTCTGACTCCCAATTTGGTGCCTTTATGACTGCTGCAGAGACAGATTTGGAGGCTTGTTTCCTACCAAAATTTAACAAAAATTATTGGGAATACTTACTTCCTAAGATCACTTCAGAATGAAACTGAGACTTTCACTTTTATAAATCTCTTCCAACAAACTATAGATCTCCAAGAAATTGGATCTTCAAGTGTTTAGTCTAATGCAGAGCATAAAACAAGCTGAATTCCACAACATAAATGAACAAAGCACAAAGTTGTATGCCGGAATTAATTCACAGAATTAATTATTTTTGATTGACTAGTCAATAATAATAATGGTTAACATTTATAAATCATTTCCCATATGCAGGGCTCCATGCTGTGTGTTATATGGATTATCTTATTTAACATAAAATTTRTCTTTCTAATTGGCTGCAAATGTAAAATTATTTCATATTCCTGGAGTTTAAAGTAGCAACAATCTTTCCTGTTAAAAACTACTTTTTCAGTCAAAATATACATTTATGTCTGTCTGCTTGCTTATTTGTTTCTGTCACTTTGTTTTGCTTGCTATTTTGACCTTTTCCTTTTGAAGGCTATTCTTTTTCTTGTTTCCTGCAGAGAAACTGAATTTGACAAAACTAGTTTGGTTCAATTTCCCTTTTAAGAACAGCTTCATCTTTGAAATAATCAAGAGTTCAGCTCTAAGAASGAAGCAAGAAAGCCTTCACTGTTCAATATTGCAATGATAATGTTGTGATGATTCCTTCAGGACAAGAGTGGTTTCTTTCTGTTTATTTTGTGACTATGTACATAAAATGCATTTGAATAACTCAATGTTATTTTTTTAATTTTTGATGGACCTTAATTTATTTATATGTGGTTCTGAGAATCAAACCCAGTGTCTCACACATGCTAGGCAAGCACTCTATCACTGATCTATGACCCTAGCCCTCAATATTATTTTGATTAGCAATGTTCTTCTTAAATATCCTTCAAACCATATTCCAAGAGCACTTAACTACCTCACTGTCTTCTTAAAAAATGATTAACAGATGATTTGGTTATGTATAATTTGAACATTTACAGATTTTTGTTTTAATGATTTTCTTACACCACTGATTTTACTTTTTACTGTTAAATTGTAAATCTTATCTTTATTATTCCACTTCAGAAAATCCTATWTTTCAGCTTATAACTAAGACTGCCTTGTTTGTGGCTTTTCCTATATATAAGAAACATTTCACTACTTTAGTCTAATCAAATTTAAACACCTTTAATTTAGGAAAAAAAATAATTTCCAGTTTATGTTTTTATTGTTTGAATACAATTTAAARTATTTAAATAAACTGAATTTCTCTTTTGATAGTTATCTTTTTCCTTTGTAGATTACTTTAGGAAAAATGGCCTTGTCAGCCCAACAGATACTCAGATGGTTCAACTCAATTAAGTCGAGCCGCTTCATTAATGCCACACAACTCACAAAACRTTTTCCAAGATCAGGGAAAACATGGTTACAAAGCTCTTCTGCTTGGCCTCAGATGTCCTCTGACAATTGTTTTCTCCAGTGGGGATTTAAGACTTACAGAACTTCCTCCTTATGGAGTAATTCCCAGTCTACCAACTCAAGTAGGCAAGAGAATAATTCTGCCCAAAGCACTCTGCTTCCTTATGTGAATGAGCAGTCAGAGAAGACACAGAAGATGCCCTGCTTTGACTCCGACCTGACTCTAGAAGGTAATTCTCAACTTTTAGAAAAGTCCCACTTTCYCTGCTTTTGGTAGTTTAAAGGAGCTACTTGTTTACATTTTGCTAGGCCATTTCTGTTCATACTTTGTACCAGGCAGGAAAAGGAACAGCTCTATTTATTTACTGCTCTTTTACTTTGATTTTACTAGTGTGCATAAGAGTATCTTTTATAAATAAAATAGATTATATATATATTTATATAAATAGATTATATATATTACATTTGCTTTCTAAATGCTTCATTACTTAGAGTATTTAAAATTTTTTTCTTTTGGACCAGGTATGATGACACATGCCTGTAATCAYACCTTTTCAGGAGGCTAAGTCAAGAGGATCACAAGTTTGAGACCAGCTGGGCAATTCTGAGAGATCCTCTCTCAAAATTTAAAATAAGAGCTAGAGAATATAATTCAATGGAGATCACTTGCCCCACATGCATCAAGCACTAGGTTCAATCCCAGTACTAAAAAAAGCAAAAAYAAAACAAGATTAGATTTATTAGGGTATAATTGGTATCAAAATCCATCTATTGGGGTATATGATTCTTTGAATTTTGATGTATACATGTAGTTGTATAACAACTACCAGTCATCAAATAGAACAGTTATATCACTGCTAAAGTTCCCTTGTGTTGTTTTTAGTCAGTCCTTCCTTTCTAGTGCCTCCTGTTCTAGGAATTCAGATTTTACCATATATGGAATAATATTCAATTATGTACAAAATGATAGAGAGCTGGACACAGGGAGGAGAGAGGGTGGCTAAAAAAGTGAGAAACAGAACAAGAGATCACACTCTGGATTCCTTAGCTTAAGGTAAATTACAGTCCCAATTGTCTAACATATTGTTTTATTAAAAATATATATATTTAGATACACACACACACACAAAACCACACAATGTAGAATCAATGCTAGACCAGAAAGACTGCAGGTGGTAGAGAAAGACATCATCTTAAAGGCACTGGAGAATAACTGGGAGAAGAGGGCACTGCATCAAAGCAGAATTTTCAGAATGTCATGACTAACCTATGAGATTCAGGCTGTTGAATATGTTGTACTTTTGGCCAAGTTAACAAGCTATGGTAGACTGATTCTCTTCCTCAAAATGTACTTGAAGGGCAGTTGATCCTCTTAACACTTTTACCTGTCATTGAAAAGTAGAGGAGAAAAGTTTTGTGCCTTGAAACTTACTAACAAATTTCTTATCTTAGAGAAAAACAGTAGTTGGTCTTTCTAAATAGTCATAACCTTACCTCTTGGTACTTAGAATATTTTTTGATTTCTTGAACAGTTAATTCTGAAATGATCTCAAGATTTAACTAGCAAACGACACAAACCAAGGAAGAAGTGGGCTTTGGAGAAAAAGTCTGAAGCACTAACTTGCTTCTCTTTCTACATGCCTGGCTTCAAAGAACTGGACGATTTGCCTCCCTTGTCTCCATTGCATCCACTTTCCGAAGARGAGGCTGTTCAGATTGTTGCACACCCTCCACTGCCTCCAGATTCATTCACACTTCGAGACTATGTAGATCATTCTGAGACTCTGCAGAAGTTAGTGCTTTTAGGTAAGTTTGAGTACCCTACAAATACTTTAGTATACTTTTGGGGTTTTGTTGTTGTTGTTTTATTTTTGTTTTTTGTTTTTTTTTACCTACTCAACATTTAAATCTTTATCAAAGTAGTATATAAACATATGAGCAAAAGTCAAATAGTGTGAAAGGCTCTGTTTCTCTTTACTGACCTTGTATCCCATTTACTGAAGGTATCTACTTTTATCACTGTACTTAACTTCCACATTTTAAAAGCAGTTGCTTATAATACTATCTCTTTTTTCATCAATTTTAGACAACAGTCGATCTTTTATATATACACAGGTATTTTTTCCATATTCTCTAAAATTCCCTTGGTGTGTTACATTTTAATTTTTAGATATGTCATTAGTCTTGGTGTGTTACATTATAATTTTTAGATATATCATTAGTCATTGTAATCAAATGTATATTTGTTGTTTCCTTCCTGTATAACTTTTCTTTTTCTTGGAGTTAATAATTGCCTTGTTTTTTATTTGATTAATWTTGTTTGTCGCTTAGGGTTAAATTTTCCCATACCTTCCAATAACCTTTCAGGATAGTTTTTCCAGTGAGTAATTATCAGATCCATGGCACACCACTGCCTGTTTTCCCTGTCACTCCCTGACCTTTCTCCTGGAGCTCATGTCCTAATTTGGATAATTTCTCTTTTGGCTTATTCTCTAACTACCTYAGCTTGTTGACTAGTTGGACATAGAGTGAAATGGCCAGGGCACCTCACTGAAAACTTCAATTTAATTATTTTTAATCTAGCTTCTTATTGTAACATTTTGATTTTCCCATTACCTCTTCCTGGTTGTCTCCTGCTTACTTTTTCAGCTTTATCCCTTGATACTTCCCTCTTTTGGTTGGCCAGCTCTGACAACTGAAGAACTTAGCYTAAATTGCAATAACTTGAAAATGTTTTCTTTGACCCTGAAGAAGGGTCCTCCTTTAAGCTCCCACCCACTTCCTTCCTTGCTTATTTTTGAACCTAGATTAATGGTAATGTGTGATGATTGTTGACACATCTGTCCCTGTACTCAGTTAGCTGAATGTGACCCAAATATATAAGGAATGGCCTTTGTTCATAAGAAACTTCAAGTGTTCAGAAACATCTAAAGACATATACTTTAAAGTAGCTGGAATACAAGGATGAAAGGTAATGTGTTAAGACTCATATCAGAGATACAAATAAAGTTTTTCATGAATCAACATAAGTGTCCATCAGTAAATGAAGAGATAAAGAAAACATGCTATACACAATGGAATACTATCTTTTTTTTTTTAAGTTGTATATGGACAGTATGTCTTTATTTTATTTATTTTTATGTGATGCTAAGGATCAAACTTAGTGCCTCATATGTACAAGGCAAGCACTCTGCCACTGAGCTCCAGCTCCAGCCCATATTATCCATTCTTAAGAAGGAAATCCATTGGCAACAATRTGGATGAAAAGCATTATTCTAAGTTAAATAAGATAGGCACAGAAAGACAAATACCACATGATCTCACTTACATGTGAGAACTAAAAGAAAAAGCCAAACACATAGTAGCAGAATAGAATGGTGGTAGAAGGAGGCAATAGAGGAAGGTATAAGGAGATATCTGTCAAAACTTACAAAGTTTCAGTGAAATGGAGGAATAAGTTTTACAGATCCAAAGTGCAGCATGATAACTATAGTTAATGTTCTGTGTACTTGAAAATTGCTGAAAGAGTGGGTTTTAAATGTTTTTGTGTCACATAAAAAATTGGTGAATATTTGTAATGGTGAATATGTTAATAGCTTTAGGTAATTATTCAGTAGCATGTGTATATATATGTGTGTGTGTATATATGTGATATATGTGTATATATATATATACACATATATATATACACATACATATATACGTATATAAGACATCTGTTTTACACCCAAAATATACATAATAAAGTGTCCAGAGAGTTCAAAAGTGAGAGATGACATCTACTATGAGCAAGAAAGCCAGTTACCTTTCTTTTCAAAACAGCTCTTTGCCTATGGCAGCTCTATGGTGATGCAAGACAATCCTGAGATGCAGTCYCTACCTTTACACAATTTACAGTACATCACAGCCTTGGAATATGTTTTAACCATTTCTTCTTCTGTATGCTAATACCCAACAGCATGTCTTAGAATTAATTTAAAGGACACTAACTTAGAAAAACCATGATTGCTTTGCCAAACCATGGTTTTGAATACTAAGTCCTTCTGTTKGCTTTGCAGAGCTGTTTCTGCCTTTTTCTGCTTGTTCTTTATGCCAGGTGGCCAGCCACTGTGTGCTGGAGCTCTATATCAGGGGGCCAGCTGGATTCTGGGCAGCTTCACCTGGCGGAAGGCACCTACAGTGTGGAGACTAGAAGGGCCTACTGGGAGTGTTTTCCTCCCTTCTTTGGGTCCAGTTGCTTTCTCCATGACAACAGCTCCTTCTGAGCAGTCCTTCCTTAATAGCTTCTCTCTCTCTCTGATCTCTGGTGCTGGAAGTGCCCTCCAGTGTTCCCGTCTCCTTGCATCTATGTCACCCTATTTAGTCCTCCTTAAAGTTCTTTTCTTTTGAACTTTATAGGGCTCTATCTGTTGCCTGTCAGACCCTGACAACTAAATACKGGTTACTGTACCTAAATGCAATGGTATATTTGTAGTTACTGAACTGATGAGAATAAAGCCCAACTAGACTGACCATCTACAGGTTAGATCATAATACTACCCATTTTTTTTATCCCCAGTGCTTAGCAGAAGTCCTGGCATTCAGTGACTGTTTTTTCAAGTTAATGAAATTTGAGTAAAACCAAGTGATCTGGCTGAGCAGGTACTATCCTGATGAGATTCTTTTCTCCATTGGTATTAAAAAGTAGCTTTTCAGGGGCTGGGGCTTAGAGCACCTACCTTGTACATGTGAGGCACTGAGTTTGATCCTCAGCACCATATAAAAATAAATAAAYAAAATACAGATATAAAAAAATAGCTTTTCAGGATTTCTGCTTTAACACAGTCATGGTGTGACAGCTCATGCTGAGCAAGGCACTTCAACACATGAAAGCTCTAATATCTACTTAAATTTGAAGACTAAGCTAAGCCCTTTGTGCTATTTTTAAAGTCCTCCTCCCACAGATATTTGGAACCAGTTTCCATTTTGTTTCTTTATCYATCCAGTAATTGGATTTATTGTCTATTAAAATTATTTTAAAATTATAGAAGAATTACATCTAGTTGTTAAAAATGCATATATTACAAGAAATAGATCTGACCTCTTTACATCTTCATTTCACTTCCCAAAGGTGATCATTCTTACTGAGATGTTTAAGATGTTTTAAGTTTTCCAGACCTTTTTCCAAACAAACAAATATGTATCACACAGAAAGCCATTCATATATCTTCCATATGTATGTATATATATATATATTTTTTTTTTTTCTTGATACCAGGGATTGAACCCAGGAGCATTTTACCACTGAGCCACATCCCCAGCCCCACCCTACTTTTTTTTATATATTTTATTTTTTAGAGACAGGGTCTTGCTGAGTTGCTAAGGGCCTCACTAAGTTGCTGAGGCTGGCTTTGAACTCATGATCCTCTTGCCTCAGCCTCCCAAGCTGCATCTTATATTTTTTTGAAATTAAACAATACTGTRTTTTGAGTTCTGTGTTTTCTTTCAGTAGTTAATATACTTTTAGATTCTTAACTACATGGAATTAATTTTGCATAAGATACAGAAGAATTTTTAATTTTTTTACAAGATAGTTAGTGGTCCATATTATATATTTTTTAAAAAATATTTTTTTTTAGTTGTCAACAGACCTTTTTTTTTTTTTACTCATTTGTATGTGGTGCTAAGGATCTAATCCAGTCCCTCACATGTGTGAGGCAAGTGCTCTGCCTCTGAGCTATAGCTCCAGYCCTGGTCCCATTATATTTTAATGAATGTTTTTCTTATTGATATAAAATGCCATTATTAGCCTACAATAAATTACTTTAGTTCATCCCATTCTGTTTTCTAGTCTTCATTTTGTGTGTGTGTGTGTGTGTTTGTGTGTGTGTATTCTGTTTAAACTGTTTTGCTAATTGTGGTTATGTGTTTAATATTAAGAAATTTGGATTTAGAATTATATTTAGGTCTGCTTTTCTGATCACATTTACCATTAAAGAAAGAATGTTTTTATTTCATTGTTTTTATATGTAATACTGTAAAGTTGCCTCTAGAAATCAGTTCTGGGGTTATTTTTAATCTGAAGGAATATTTTCAATATTATGAAATTTGAGTCTAAACTTAAGGTTTTATGTTATCTAAATGTTTATTTTAAAGATGTGGGAGAGGCTTTCGTTTTCATCTCTTAAAATCAGATAAAAGGAAAAAGAATGAAATCCTCAGTTTTAATGAGAATTTTGAATTACATGTTCTTTGATTCTCTGCCTAAGTTATGCTGAAATCAAACAGTATGAGAAAATGAAGAATGCTTTAAAATATCACCTTGGTTTCTCCCTTTTTTTTTTTTTTTTTTACTTTTTCTCATGTTTCTTGTCTTGTTTATTTAGATTATATAAGATAAGAAAGGTACATAAAGGTTAAAGGTTGTGTACTTGCTGCTTTCTGTAGTGCTTGAGGGTTGTATGTGTGCACACATTCTCAGACATTTGTAAGCCCCTTTAAGGTCATTGTCTCTGCCATAAAGACCTGGAGATGCCAGTGATGAGTAAGAAATAAGGTAATTTTTATTCCCCCTGTGAAGGGGATCATGAGCATATTTTTTAAATAGTAATTTTACTTAAGGAAATTATTTAAAAATTTCAAAGTAACAATTTGTTCATAGAATTTATACCCTGCAAATTTACCAGTTGAGCAGTTACCAAGGAGATCATTAAGGGATCCCAACTATCTTTCAAACTATATCCCAGAAGCCATAGAAATGACGATGATCCAGTGATTAGTGAATTTGTCTTGGGAGACATTTAGCCACAAATGCTCATTTCCCTCTATACATGTCTTTGGAATAAATACTATAATTCATTTTAATTTGTTTTATTTCTGTAACCAGTTTAGCTATAGATATTTAGAAGTTTCTATTTTGTTTATTTCAGTTCTCCTTTGAATAGGTTATTCCTCAGTAATTTCTAATGCTTATATGTATGAACTTTAATGGCTAAACTAAGAAGTGGTTTTCAAACAGTATTTATAATTTATTGAAGGAGTGGATTTGTCCAAGATAGAAAAACATCCGGATGCAGCCAACCTTCTTCTAAGACTGGATTTTGAAAAAGACATTAAGCAAATACTCCTGTTTCTCAAGGATTTGGGTTTAGAGGATAACCAGTTGGGAACATTCCTGACTAAAAACTATGCTGTTTTCTCTGAAGACCTTGAAAATCTTAAGATCAGGTAGGGCTTTTAGAATGATTTTTCACATAACCTAAGAAGTGGCTATAGAGGAAATATATGTGTAAGAAATTTTTTAAGTCTCYGTTGTATAGGATCTACTGAGATAATGAGCATGAATGTTATTTTTTTTGTTATGGATTTTCTTTGATTTAAATTATTTATTCAACTGCTTATTGTTATTTCATTGTTTCATCTATTGCTAAGTCAGTACTTAACTATTTCTCTTTAGAAACTGGTATAAATTGTTTTTAATGACTATTAACAAATAGCTATATTTTCTGAGAGTACCCTTAGTTCTGAAAACAYGATCTTGTGTGGTTTTTCTATATCCAATWTTTAATAGTAGACATTTGACATTCTCTTGGCAAATTATTGTCTAATTTTGTTAATCATGTCATAAGTTAACTATTTTGGTTATTCCTTTCTTCTTTAAATATCATTTTATTTTATTTTTTTTAATTGTTGATAGACTTTTATTTTATTTATTTATATGCGGTGCTAAGAATTGAACCCAGTGCCTCACACATGCCAGGCAAGTACACTATGGCTGAGCCTCAGTCCCAGCTCCTAAATAACACTTTAATAATCAACTTTGTACTTCATTCAACATTCAAAGAATTGTTGACTGAGAGAATCTTTAGTGAGACAGTGTTGATCTGKGAGTGAAGGTCCTGCTAGGCATCAAGAACCACACAGAATAAGATAAGTCCCTGTCCTGAAGTTAACAGTTTGAATTCTCCCCAACTCTTATCTAAATCAGTCCATGTTCCAGGATTCAATAAATGGGGGGCACTATTTACCTTGTTGCTGAGGTCAGAAATGCTGGTATTAACTTTGACTTCTCTTCTTTTGTCATCCACATCTAACAAATTATCAAGGCCCATCGGTTCTACTTTATTTTCTCTCAAATTAGTGTGTTTCTCTTAATCTCCACTTGAAATACTTTGCCTCAGTTCCTAATTATTTCATACCAATAATTTCATGCTCCAGTAGTCTCCTAGTTAGCCTGCATCTAATCTTGACACCCCCCCCCAATACTATTTTCCACACTGGAAAATAGCCTCCCTACATTTCAGAAAGTTTGCTGTTTCTTATACCTTCTTGAACCTTTTCTCTGAATTAGGAAAAACAAACAAAAGAAAACTATAATCCTTGCACAAAACAACTTGAGCCCTTATATAGTCAAGGCAATCGCCTGGACTCCAGACATAAAACTTGTCCTCTGTCCCATCATGTGGCTTACAGTCTAGTGTGATACAGATAGGCTGTCACAGTAAAGAGGCAGAAAGTGATTCCAGGAAACTCTCACATCCAGTGCTGCTCCCCCTGGCTGCCAGAACACTGATTGCTTCCCCATTAGACAACAAGCTTGCCTTGTTGCTCAAAAGTTACTCCAAAGAAACATCAATACCTCACAATGGGGATCCTTTCAGAGACTATACCATGATTTTTACTGTCATTATTATACATGGTAGGCACAGAGAGGTTCAGTAATTTGCCCAAGATTAAAAGAGTTAATTTTAAGTGACAGAGCTGGGATTCAAACCCACTCAGTACAACACCAGAGAGTTGGCCATTGAGTCATAATGTTTCCCTATGTTTAATTTTGTGAAGGAAATTTAAACTTTAAAGGAACTTAAGTTACCCGTTTAAGATCACACATTCTCATAAGACCTAAGGAATCTTCTCTAATACAGATAGTTTGATCAGTGATTCCTAAACCTGGCTGACTATCAGATGGAACTGTTTAACATTTCTTAATTACTTAGAATTTTTTAAATAGGTAATATATCCCCATATACTCAAAAGGACATATGATGAAAAATAAACTTCTTGACAGCAGTTTTAATAATATTTTAGTCAGACACAACATGGCTGCCCGTCCCCCCTTCCCCAAGRAAGTTATCCTATTTCCCCTCCTTCTTCTGCTCCTTGGCCTTCCAAGACTCAACTAATTTTAATAGATATTGCATTTATCTGAGTTGTTTTCCAGTTTATAATTCCCCCAGTAGTATATAGAAGTGCAATTTCTCTATTACCTTCATTAATAGCTACTACCATCCAGGTTTGTGTCCACCTTCTAGGAATATTCTGTCCTATATAAGAATAAACACACACACACACACACACACACATAACTGGTAGCAATTATACATACTATTTTACACCCCACTTTTCTTAACTATATCTTGGAAATGTTTCTTTCTTACACACTTTCTATTCTTTAATCCAGAATAATCCACACTACAGATCTATTTAGTACCCTACTTATAAACCTCCAGGGTTTTTCTGGTCTTTCCTGTCACAATGCTTTAGCAATTCCTATACACCTCATTTCACCAATATTACCTGTAAGATACATTTCTAAAAGTGGAATTGAGAGGTCAAAGGATATATTCATTTGTAATTTTAATAGATATTGCATTTATTTGAATTGTTTTCCAGTATATATTCCCCCAGTACAGAAGTCCAATTTCTCTGTTATCCTCACTAATAACAGTGTTATCAACTTTATGATTCCATTTACAAGTAAAAATAATACCTCTTTGTTAATTTTGGAAACATGTGTTTTAAACAACAAATATTGGAGTACTTTTCATGTTACAGATTACTTTGTATGTGTTGAATTCCTATTTAAATTTCCTTTTCTGTAAASTATGTCTTTTGCCATTTTTTTCTTTTTTCATTTTGGTGCCAGTGATTGAACCCAGAAGTGCTGTACCACTGAGCTACATCCCAGTCCTTTTTATTTTTTCGAAACAGGGTCTTGCTAAATTGCCTAGGCAGGCCACCAATTTATAATCCTACCTCAGCCTCCCAAGTCACTGTGATTTCAGGTGTGTGCCGCCACACTTGGCAATATTATTTAATTGGGCTTTTTTTCTTTCTTGTAAACATTTTTTTATATGTTAGAAACATTGGTTCTTTCTTTAAGGCATTTTGCAAATATTTTTCCCAGTCATTTTTTTGACTTTGTTTTATAGTATTTCTTCATATAATTAAATTTATCAATTGTTTCCTCTCATGCCTCAAAGGAGCTACTTTGAAGGAGTAATATTCAGCTGACTAAAGTAATTAAGTTTAGTGCAGGACCATCATAAGCTTTAGATGTAGGCATGTTACATTCTAATTTGTATTATTAGCATTGATTATTTGATGATCCAAGACAAATTATTTAGCTTCTTTGAATCTATATTTCTTCAAATGTAATGTGGATAATTTATCTGGCTCATAGAATTTTTTATTTTTCTGTAACAAGTAAACAAGATAACATCTTGATATATTTAGGCATATAATAAAACTACCCTTTACTATATTTTTAGATTTTGAAAAGTCAGTTAAACTTTTTATATTATACTACCATATTTGGGTTCCCAGAAACTTGGGAACATTTCTGAGTTGTTAACAAAATACATATTAAAAGACTGTAGTGGGCTGGGGCTGTAGCTTAGTAGCAGAGCAGTTGCCTAGCATGAATGAGGCACTGGGTTCAATCCTCAGCACCACATAAAAATAATCAAATAAAATAAAGGCATTCTGTCCATCTACCACTACAAAAAAATTTTTTTAAAAAAAATTCAATTGCCAAAAAAAAGACTGTAGTAAAATTATTTATGAAAATGTATGTTAAATATGCTAACATTAAAAAAAAAAAAAACTTTTCTCAGTTGCAGCCTTTCTTCGGGGGTCCAGATCTCTTATATTCTTAGTTGGTGTTTTTCTGTTCTTAGTGGGGGCGGGGGGGGTGCTAAACAGAAGCTATTTCATTTTTTTCTTACCATGTAATAAATCAAATTAAATGAAAAAGGAATCTACCTATTTGCTGGGTTTCTGTTCTCAAGACTAAAAGGCTCAGGGGTCACTCTAGTTAAACTGGGCTAACTGGGCTGCACGAAATAACCACACAAGAGACACAAATACCTTTTTCTTTGGGGTCGCTGTGACGGCTCCTCTGACCTTAAGGGTCCACAGAAAGAGAGAGAGCACGTGCTGACCCCTTTTATTGAGGAGAAGCCATTCAAATGAGGCAAGGGGTCAGGTTTCAGGGGGCTGAGTCTATCTTCATGATGTCCACTGTCAGCAGGTTGACTGACACCTGGGTAGGCCACACCCAAGGGCACAGTAAGAGGAGGGGACACACACAAGGCACTTCCATGGAAGATTCTATCCTAAACAGGGCAAGGRGTTATATTACAAAGGAACAGGTGAGCATAGCTTCATCCATGGGGCTGTAGCAAGACACACCCATTTCTGTGACTGAGCRCCTCAGCACCCAGCTGGGGAGTGTAACTCAGTCACCCGTAAGGTTGGCCTCCCACACCTATTAGTGGATTTCAGAATTATTTTCCGCCCAGCGCACTGGTACACACCTGTAATCCCAGTGGCACCGGAGGCTGAGACAGGAGGATTTCGAGTTCAAAGCCAGCCTCAAAAAGCAAGGTGCTAAGCAACTCAGCAAGACCCTGTGTCTAAATAAAATATAAAAAATAGGGCTGGGAATTTTAATAGATATTGCATTAAAATATCTATTAAAATTGAGATTTTAAAACTCAGTGGTTAAGTACCCTCAGTTTAATCCCTGGTAGTCCCCTCAAAATAAATAAATAAATAAAAATTGTAAAGGATCTGGAGATGAAGTTCAGTGGTAAAGTGCCCCTGCATTCAGTCCCCAGTATGAAAAAATTAAAAGAAAATAAAATTTCCGTATTCCTTCAGCCACACAGGATTATTTTCTATTTTCAATCTAAACGAAAATCATTCTAGAGCCTATGGACAAATGTTTAGTTTTATCCATGTTCACATCATTATTACAGATTTTTTAAATTTTATTGTATTTTTCTATTAAGGAATGTTTTCTATTTTATTTTTATTTTATTTTGTTTTTCTATGATTTATTTATCCTTTATTTTTTCAACTTCTTTATAATTGTGAAGCTAGTAAATGTTTACCATATACATGTATTTTTGTTTACTTTTCTAGGGTGGCTTATCTACAATCAAAAAATTTTAGTAAGACAGATATTGCACAGATGGTCAGAAATGCCCCATTTCTGCTGAATTTTTCAGTGGAAAGACTGGATAACAGATTGGGATTTTTTCAAAAAGAACTTGAACTTAGTGTGAAGAAGGTAAAGAATGAAGAGACTTTGTACATTTTCTTGTTAGGACATTTAGTAACTGTTATACCTCGTGTTTCTAACAAATGCTGGCTCAAGTCTTGGTATTTTTTTAAGAAAATGAATTACCCTGCTAGTTTAAACATAAAGCTTCATCATTTTATAGTATTCCATCAACTTGGAATTTTTAAGGCTTGTTTTCAATATTTGTTTTTTCCTCAAACAGTATTATATTTTTCTGAGGTTCCTATCATTTCTCCAGCTGGCTCATCTTTTAAATTGTAGCTTATTCCCTCTAATGCCTTAGTTTTCCAAACTAGTTAAATGTGCATATATAGTAATAATAAATTGTTTTGTCTCTAATTATAGACTAGAGATCTAGTTGTTCGTCTTCCAAGGCTACTAACTGGAAGTCTGGAACCTGTGAAAGAAAATATGAAGGTAGGACAGTGTAAAGCTTTTGAGAAATCATTTTCTTTCATTATGTGTTTAAGCCCTTCGAAGGGAATACATTTTGCTATTGTCATCTTAAAGAAAATTGGATTTTGAAAGAATTTATTTATAAAAAGACAGAAAATATATAAAATATAATATAAAAATATCTAGCAAGAAATTTGTGTCATTTAATGATATTTTCATATAWTGATCAGATGTTACATGTGTAAGTCATCTTGCAGACACTGGTACCTATTGGTAGTATCTGGAAACTGCTTCTGTTGCCTGGTATGAGAGGCTATGTCTCTATTTCCTAATCTGTGTTATCAATCTATAAAAATGCTTGTTTGCCCATTGTGACTCTTTCTATGTCTTAGGGCATTTGAGAGGCTGCATCTAAAAGACTTATGAACAGAGCAGTGGGCAGCACATTGCTATCCTTGACACATGTGCCAATTGCCAGCTCTAGTTCTATCACAGAACATATCAGATATTCTTTATTGTCTTTCCTCCAAAAGAAAAGTATGAAGCCAACGGCAAACAAAGAGTTAATACACAAAGCTGTAGAAGTGTCTGAAATTATATAACGCCTATTCTCTGAGGTCCTGAAGTGTTT